AATGTTCATTTAAAAATAACATCTTTTATCTAGCAATAGATTTCCATTGTTATGTTTATTGACTATTCAAGTTACAGGAACTATGTTAAATTGTTGGGTCTGTTGTCAATTATACATAACGATAAATTATTTAAATTTTAATAATGGGATCTTTTATTTTTTACTACAAATACTAAATAGAACAAATATTTCATTAAATATAAATGTTTGACTGTTCAAAGTATTGAAATATTTATTTAAAAATAGTTACATCTAGTACTCCAACTTCTTCAAATCAAAAAAATACCAGTTTTACCCCCATACTGTTGAAGACCATGGAGTTATCATATGTGGCTCGTAGATCAGGCATGACTCCAATAGTACTAGGTACACCACATGTATCTCCATTAAAACCAGCGTTGAAAAATTTAGAAAATGAGAAACGGACAAAGAGTAAAAACATAAAATTTGAATCTCCCGAAAAAATTGTTGATGGATATGTAACCCCAGAAAACTCATGCAATGGTAAATTTCAAGTATCATTAATTTTTATATTTTAAGTTATTTTAGAGTATGTTTTATACAATAATGATATTTTTACTATGTACACATTTTAGATGAGATAAACCACAAAACTATTAAAAACAGAGTTGTCACTCCACATGCTTTGAAATCATCTAAGGTAAACCAGAGCAACGTTATCAGATCTCAGAAAAACCTCATTAGTTCAACTACTAACCACACTCGCAATAAAATTAACTTAAAAAGTACTATCAAAGCACAGACAGAAAAGGAGACATTAAATGAAATGTCTGTTGGTGTGCAGGATGGCAAATCATCAGTGAGACGTTCTTCTCGACTCGCCAACAAACCTTCAAAAAATTACAAATATTAATATGAATTTTATGATTTTTGTATTTTTTTTTTTTTTTTTTTATAATTTAACAAAATATTTAAATTTAAAACAACATCAATAAGTAAAATCTTCGACTATGATGAAAATGATTAACTTATGTTGTATTTTATTCAAATGTTTTATTCTGATTTTTTTTAAATAAATAAATGTGAGATTATACAATTTTAATTTTATTTAAAATATACTTATTTTCATTGGTTGCTTGACATAATATTCTTGTAAGTATTTTGATGTTTTAGCATATTCAAGTAAACCATATACTTTCTTTTATGATACCTGAAAATTAATTAAATGCCCATATTATGTAATTTCAATAACAGTATTCAAAGTATAATTTGTGTTATGTACAACGTTGAATTTCCAGTTGTATATCTCAAGGAAAGATGTGTAGATAATTATATGAGTTATTAGGTGGATAGCAGTATAGCACTGATAGTAGACTGCTTTCTGTATTATGCATTTTTTGTAAAATTAGTTTCCTGGTGATCTATAGTTATCACACAAATTGGTTATGATGAACCTCCAACTAAAAAATATAATGTTMATTTTAACTTTTCAACTCTAGCTGAAAAATATTGTATTTTYGACCTACAACACACTAGTTTAATTCCAATTTCATATATGATTGCCTTGAACTCCTAGGTATTGGTATGGTTAATAYGTTTGTGTTGATAGTCATATAAGCTATTTAGTAACTATGTAGTGTACCTATATGTTAATATTAATAGCTAATAATAAGCACCCCTCCCGAATTATCTTTTTTCTTGAAAAATATTTTATTACGTTTCTTAAGTCCTCAAATAATTAAGTTTATTGTTTATTTAATTATTAAATTTATTTATTTGTGTCGTAGGTTAGGAAAACCACAAAAAATACAAAAGTTGTTGCCGTGGAGTAATTTATTCAATCAGAAAAATATGTAGGTTGATATCTACTTATTTAAGACGACGTGATACCCRTATGTGTTGTCTCCGTCTCACAAGTGTATAACATGGTACATTTTACACTCAGCAGATCACGTTTAATTATGTTAGTTTAAAAATTAGAGTGAATTGACCTCTTATACAATTTAAAAGTAAGAGTATTATTTAGACGACCTCATGGGCCATTTACTATATTTTAATTTTTAAGGGAGTTATAATTAGCTTAAAATGTATAAAAATATTCGTATCCTCTTAAGGCAAAACAAATTTTCTTTAGTTAAATACATAGCTAGCTTAGCTATGGAAAAGAAACTTTACTTATTAGTGCTGTAGCCTAGTATAACAAGTTGTTACAATAAGTTTAATTGCCCTCATCCACATAATATGCCCTATTAGTGCCAATCAAAAAATTCAAACCCATCTAAATAACATCCTCATCTCATAGTTGGTTCAATAAATAGGTAATAAAATATTAAAATCAACGAATCAAAATCATCTTAAATAATAACATTCTCACTAGTCACTACGACCACAAGACTGCTCATCGATCACTCTGAATYCCATCATACTTCACTATAGGTAGGTACATACTCTCAAATAAAATAYCTCGGCCTCAGACTAGATAGAAAATATTGGGATGCTGTCCTTAAGGACAATCATAAAAGTTAAACAGTAGACTTACTAGGCCATTGCTTAGGTCTAACAGCAATATTCAAAACAAACTTCTTAGTTACAGAAATTTCCTATGGATCTACGCATACCTTGGGGTCCAGTAAAAAAATTTAATATAGGTACCCAAATAATTCAAGCCTTCCAATTTATTTGTGTTCCGTGTACGTATCATCGCTAAAGTTCCATAGTAAGATTGATACGTGACGAAAAATTTGCTCTAAGACCACCTCTAAATCAAGGTGAGGTTACAACTACAGATACTTTGTAAGACTGAGTAGATATATAATACATCAAATTCATTGTAAAAGGTGATTCGATTGCAAGTCTCTCTTCAAGTCATTTACCTACTCATTTACAGCCAGTAATCTGTATAATAAAATTCTTYCAACGAATTTACTTATTGTTTGTAATGTATAAATTATAATAATCTATAAACACCTACCCACTTTWAAAAAAAAGGTATAAGTTTATTGATATAAGATAACAGAAAAAACGATAGATTCGAAGTACCTACCTACCTATTGTTAGGTATTTGTTAGAATTTTCTATTCAATAAAATATTTTACACTTTTATTAGGTTTTAAAAATAGTTTTAAATTTGATTTKACATTAATATTATTAATACCAAATTTTGACAAAATATTTAAAAAATCATGTGTCATTACTCATAACTTATAAAGTCATAAATCATAACCTATTTATCTAACTTGAAAGTTGAAACAAAAATATAAAATAGAACAAATAAGTACCTACTTATACATTTTCATAAAATCCATGCTCTAAAATAATTTAAAGTCAATTCAAATATAAGAGTATAGGTACTGTTATAATATATATACATATATACATATATATATATACCTACATTATCTTTTTCAAAGTACCTAATTTTTTTTTCAAATTCATGATGTAGTAAGGTAATATTTTCTAAATGATTTTAATATATTATTAAAAAGAGTTGCTCTCGGGAAAGTATTAGTTTAAACCTCAGAAATAGGATACCTATATAATTAGGTACCTATAGCTATTTTTGAATAACTTAGAGTTATTATAAGCAATTGAACAAATAAATAATAATGTACTTATTAATACACAAAGTAATAATTCATGTATTCAATTTATTTAGAATTATATCGGTTGTTATATTTTCAAGACAAATTTAATCAAGGCAAATATTTTTGTATTGAAGTACAATTTTTTTGGAGGGAGTAAAAACCCAACTATTTTTGCTTGATTGTACTATTTGATACCCATTCTTAGACCTTTACACCGATTACCACATTTTTGTAAATAGCTTAAAATAAATATAAATCTACACAAGAATACATTTTAGATTTATCTTGGTATAGGTATATTATAATTAACAAATTTCAATTTTTAATTTTTTAATGAGGTAGATGCCTAGATATTTTTTCCAATACATCTTAAATTTATAATCAATTGATAAATTCTCTTTCAATTTTAGTTACCTATACACTTATACATAGGGAAATTCGAGAAACGGTATTTCACGGCATACTCGTCAATCTTAATTATAATGTCTTCCCAAATCGAAAAATTTGAGAATTTGTGCTATGAAAGTATTTGAGATGAATTATGAGCACTTCGAGTCCCCACCAATTCGTACCCATATATTATATAGTAAAGTTTTTTATAAGCTTGCTATAGGTATCGATGTGTTATCACAAATTATATGAAAAAAGTGACTATTTTCATGTTATATTGCGTGGTGTTACTCACTCCTGCAAATCCAACGAAGGGTGTACAGTGCGCGATTCGCTGGCCATTGCCGCGATGGCGTCTCTGAGTGACGACGTCCACGGACGGAGTTCAGTCTGTGATTTGGACGACGTCCACGCAGCTGCGGCGCCCAGCATGGCTGAGCCGATGAGGACGGGATCGTCTTCCATGGAAGTGCGCACTGGAAGCGCAGATACGTCAGCCTGGCACTGTATAAACACCGGATTTCGGCTCAGTCCACCGCACATGAGGATCTCTTGGATGTTTAACAATCCTCCGCTTTTYTCCTCCACAGATTCTATGATGTGTCTGGTTCCGTACTTGACCGGACATGCAACAATTAAATGAACGTGATATAGAAGTATATGAGCCATTATGTGTAGGTATGTGAACCATTATTTTATTAATAGTTAACATAGGTATAATTTGGAATTTGGTTTGGGGGGAGCTAGGAGATTATGTTTTTAGCAAAATCTGTAAGCCTCGTACAGTAACCTACCCCACTAAATATAAAATATTAGCAGTAAAATAACCCCTAACCTAAGTGTTGGGGGGTTCTATATACTCCTTCCCTTAATTACCTTAATTACGCCACTGATAATTAATGCACTATATTGTCACTATATAATATATATACATATTTCCTAGATACATCTAATGACTTTTCTGTTAATTGTTGTTGTGGATTTTGAAGAAAATATGTTTTTGTAGGTATAGATTATACAAGTGCGACTAACTCCTATATAAGTCTATAATAGTTGAAAGAAGCTAGCTAGGTGTGACATTCATAAGCTTAACTATATATATAGGTATTTATTTTAGGTTAGAGTGAAAGACTGAAAGGTAACCTGGGATGGTAGATTGATCAGATATCTGTGAGCTATAAGAAATTCTATACATAAAAAAAGGAATTTGTTAAAAATTCGAATTATAATCAACAATTTATCACGCACATTTTGATGTTAATACAGTACATGATTTTTAGCATACATATGAATTTCAATGTTTCCATGTTTTTTTTTAAGTACATAATAATTTTTAAAAATATTAATAGAGCTTAAATTAAAGAAGCATTTTATGAGATATTTTTCCTTTACAAGGAAAAT